CTTTGACAAAGTAGTCCTGAATGAGAAATGTAAATTAAATGTAAGAGTTGTTAGGAAAAAACAAACAATTAATATTAGCACAACATTTAGGAGTTACATAATTAAATGGCCATACATAAAATATACGTGAATGTTATTTCATATCATTACTTGGCCAAGTTAAAACAGTTGTCAGTATAATTCTGTTGCCACTGACTTTTCTTAACCACTAGCTTTAACTTGTGTCTCAAATGTTAAAATCAACCACTCACAAAATAAAGCTACATAAAATTAACAGGAGGCAGTGGATTTGTTAAACAGTCAAGCCTGTCATCAGTCTCATTAAAAGAGCAATTAATTAATATTAACAGGTAAGCAGCTGAAAAACACATCTTACCAATTAATATAAACAAGAGAACAACTAAAATATAAAACCAATTAATATAAACAAGAGAACAACTAAAACATAAAACCAATTAATATAAACAAGCAAATTAAATATCACACCAATTAATATAAACATGTCAGCACAACAGATAAAACATAATAAATATTAATATAAACAAGTGAACAGTTAAAACATTACAGTGATTAATATGAACAAGTGAGCAGCTAAAACATTACAGTGGTTAATGTAAACATGTCATCAGCTAAAACATTACAGTGGTTAATGTAAACATGTCATCAGCTAAAACATTACAGTGGTTAATGTAAACATGTCATCAGCTAAAACATTACAGTGATTAATATAAACACGTCATCAGCTAAAACATTATAGTGGTTAATGTAAACAAGTCAGTAGCTAAAACATCACACTAGTTAATATAAACAAGACATCTGTTAAAACATAACACTGATTAATTAAAACAAGTCAGCAATTAAAATATAACACTCATTAATAAAAAACGTCAGCAGCTAAAATACAACTGATTAATTAAAACAAGTCAGCAGATAAATATAACACTGATTAATAAAAACAAGTCACCAGCTAAGATATGACACCAATTCATTCACATAAACAAGTCAGCAGCTAAAATATGACACCAATTCATTCACATAAACAAGTCAGCAGCTAAAATATGACACCAATTCATTCACATAAACAAGTTAGTAGCTAAAATATGACACCAATTTATACAAGTCAGTATCCAAAATATCACTGGATTTAGTCTTTACTAAATTTTGGTAATAAAAATGCCCCAAGTAAATGATTTTCTTACTGATAGTACAATATTAATGTAAAAAATGGACCCATGTTTTCTTTGGTAAGTGCAATAAAATGGATTGCTTAAATATTGCAGAAACACTCTTGAAACATAAAGAAACTCTACAGCTTTAGCAGGAGTAAATACAAAACTAGTCTGATCTTTCTTAAATGTTTGCACATACTTCCAAGTTTCAATAACTACCTGCTCTGAGCTATTATTGTTCTACATTCATAAAAGGTCTAGTGCCTCATCTAGTAGTAGTTTATTTAAGCTTGCTTCATAACAACAAGAAAACATGTTTCTGATTTTAAAAACTGGGTTTTTATAAGTCTATTTCATCTCTTATTACAAATTAAATATCTATGCAGTTGTAAAAAAATATTTAACAATTTCCACTGGACAGGAATATTGATGAAAAATGTAACAGAGATATAAAACATTACATATTCAGAAAAATGTATTCAAAGCCTTTTATTTTCAGATGAATCTCAAAAAAGCTTTAAAATATGAACTTGAAATTTTATAAATTAATTCCTTATTTTTTGTTTATCTTTTCTGTAACAATATGCATAAAACAGTTTCGTGGATGTTCACGATGACACTCAATTTGAATTAACATCATATTTTATCTATTTTTTTCAATGCTACAATTATCACGATAATCCTTAATTATAGATACATTTGTGAACTTACTTGATACAAATCTCGGATTCTGAGAACATTTCATTTATGTGAACATTTTCCTTACCTGAAAATGTATTTCCAAGAGACATGTCTACACAAAGAATAGCTTGATCTCTCTTGCATCTGCCTATAAGATTTGCATGCCACTATCCTTGAGTGATATCATCATCATGTGACGATAGTTCTCCAACAGGAGGACGACACAACCTCCTTGCACAGTAACCTCCTTCCCCCCCCCCCCCAAGCAATTGTGCTCAAATTAGCTTAATTCTTAGATGAGGCAAGAAGAAAGTGCACCGGAAATGGGGAAGACAGATGGGAAGGTGTGTGTGGGTATCTATGAGAGATAGATTTTTAGATAATGAAAATGTTAACTTCTAAGATGATACCTCACCTTCAACACAGATTAACTAGAATTCTACATTAAAATGGTAGAGGGACTGATTCAAACATTAAACATAGATGAGCTCCTAAAGGGAGAGCCCATGCAGTGTGATACCCGACAGCAGGGACTCCATAGGAGCAAACCCATGGAAGACCACATCGAATCTAAACCAGGATACATTCTTCGCCCAGAAGAAAAAGCAAAAGAGCCACAAGTGATGCATGGATGGGCAGAATTTTATCATGACCAACCTACACACAAATGGTTGGCAAACTAAGAAGTGTAGTGTGGTTAGAGCACAATCAGACTGTACAAGTCTAGCTTTAAACCATGCACTATTCTTAATTGGTTTCAAAAACTAACATCTAAAATTTTCTTTAGTCAGAAAAGAAACCAGATCTGAATGCAATTTAACCCTACCGACATGGGTCAAAGGCTATGTCATCGTGTTTGTTGTCTCGCATTCAAAATTATATTGAATTACTATTTTATGAATGTATGTCAGTAAGTTTGGTATCAAATTGCAGATAATTCAAATTTTAGTATTATACATTAGCAAATTTCTTGATTTAAAAATAAATATTAAAATAAGAAATCCTAAATATCAATTTTTGCGTGTCACATGGTATGTTGAATGTAGCATTGGTTCAAATTAGATGTTTGTGATGTCCAAATACAAAGTCTATAGCTTTTTACGAATTAGATACTCAAATTACAGATATTGACAAGCTAGAATGTAAAAATAAAAACCTCCTATATTTTCTCATTTCTGAGATATTAATACATTTATCGAATCAACCAAGGTGGCCCCGCCCACTTCTTCAATTTTTGAAAATACCTGCTTACATACACCTATTTCACCCAATGACTTATGTATAACCAATCAAAAGCTCAAAATGTCACCCTAGTGGTTTTCTCAGCCCCTGCAAATACTTTGCAGGGAAACTTTCTTTTCATGCTAGATTCAAAATGGTAAGGTAAGATATTAGTGAGCTTGAAAGTTTGTATTTTTTAAGACCCAAATACAGCTTAGTTACTAAAGCTTGATAAATTATAGTGGAATTCTGTGGTATTGATATAGTATTTTATGATTTTTGGTTATTAGCTTCACAAAATTTAGCAATCTTTCAGTAAACATTGCAAGTCTTTCACATAGAGAAAATCATATTTTTAGTGAATGTTTTTAATAAACTAAAAATAGACTTGTCCATGAATATATCAAATGAGCAAGATAGGCATAAATCCTGATGAGTATAAGTTCTATAGCTCGCAGACAGATGGAAGAAGGCTGATCCCAGCTGAGAATGACTTGAACCCCCCTCAGTGAATAAGAAATTGAATGGGAGTGAGGAACTGCTGGAAGTGTACATGAGTACAGCCTCCATGAGATGTTGGACATAGATAGAAGTGGAAAAAGGAAAGGAAACAAAATGAGGGCTAACAGGAGAAAAGGACTGGGGAGAAAGGCCATGGGTAAAAGCAGAAAAACCCAGGTGTGGGTGGGAAAAGTGTGACTAAGATGAGGTACAATGGTGAGGAGTAGGATTGTGAATGGTATGGATACAAAGTACAGAAGCAAGGATTGATGAAGGGCAGCCTCAGCTCATAATTCAATCAAATCAGGAATAACTCCAAACTTCAGGGTAAAGATAGGGGCTAAGCAAAGGAGTTGCATAAAGAAAGAAAGAAGTTTAACTTGGTATAGGTGAGTATCCTTCCTCAACAAAACCCCAGTAATGAAGAGGTAAATGGTAGAAGTGGACTAGCCACAGTGGAGAAGTGAAAGGAATGAAAATCACCTGCAAAATTCTCTGGGGCACTCAAACATGAGGTGTAGAGATAAGGGAAAAAGAAGTGTGGTAGAAAGGATCAGAGGAAGACAATGCTAAATAGTACCCTTCCAACAGGCAAGGGCAAGAATTGTGAAATGGGATGCAAAATGATTAAAATCGAGGAAATAAAAAACAAATAAAGTGAAAGGCAAGGCTTGATGTCAAAGAAACATAAGTCGTCCAAGAATGGTAAATGAAATGCATTAGGATTAAGAAGCAGGGAACACAAAGAATGGTGCATACCTGAGAATGCAAGAAAGTTTAAGGTTCCTCTTGAACATGGAAAGAAGTTCCCAAAGCCTAACTAGGTTAAGGAACAATCAAATTTGTCCTTCTCATTCTTCCCACAAATGAAGGGAAGAAATGCCTGAAGAAGAGACTGGAGCTGAAGTTCCTGGCTACATAAGAGAACCCATTACCTTATTCACAATGGTCGCCACACTATCCCAGGGAACGTGCCTCCATAAGCCATAATTTTTACATAACCTGTGTGAGTAAATTAGTCATTCACACAAGTAGTAGAAGATATTACATGAACTACTATTTATAGTTTGATGAAAAATAGAAATAAATTAAGTTCCTTAAACATCACAAATCTCATTAAGTTGACAAAGAAAATATATGTCTGATGTGTTCAATGCCGAGGAAAGGAATGAAAATTCATGAGTGCAAAAGCATAGAGGAAGTTAGTGTGCAGGGAGGTTGTGTCATCCTTCTATTGGTGGATGGCTTGTGCTGCATAATAATGTCATTATGCACTAACACAATTCATGAGAAAACTCGTGAGAATAGGTGGGAGTTGCCTAAAGCTAGTTCCACACAAATCTCTAAGGCAGATGTACTGGAAATATAGCTTTCTATGTGAAGAGAAATGTCTCGTCTCAGAAGATTACTTTTCTTTT